CGGGATCTCGTATTGCTCGAGGTCACGAAATGTTTGTATAGATCGATCAAGCATATTCGCTCGACCGTATAGGATAATGGCACGGACTGCGAAACTCTCGGATTTTGGATCGGGTTGGTTTTGGATGAAACCGTCGAGAAGCTGCGATACAGCGACGAAGTGTTTCTCTTTCGCTAGTGTCACCACCGCGACGGAGAAGATGATACGGTCCACGTGATAATCAGGCGTGAGGGAAGCGGAACGGCAGATTTCGAGGATCCGATTCGGATTATTCTCGGACTTGAGAAGGGAGAGAGTAGCTCGACTCTTCTTCTGCTTGCTAGTGAGCGAGTTTAGTGTGAAGATAGATGAAGAAGAAGATTGCAATCGGAATTGAGTTACGTTCTGGACCAGAGATTCCGATGTTCGAATGCGGAAGAGGAACGCCATTACTAGGGTTCATGATGTTTCCGAAGAAATGGAGACGACGGCGGAGAGAGAAGAGGTTTAAACCGGTTTAGAGATTTGATGAAATTAAAATTTTATTTCACTGTTTACTTTAAATCACATACACAATTCATATCAGCCGTTGATGTTGATGACTAGACAGCAATGAGGACGGTACTGATTGAATCTGGATGATTTTAAGAAAAAAAATTTCAAAAAGTTAAGGATCATGTTTAAACCGGGGGTTTGAACCCGACGTGAATCGAACACGCAACCTTCTGATCTGGAGTCAGACGCGCTACCATTGCGCCACGGATCCCTTTGTGAATAATCTTCACCAATATTATTTATACATTAAAGCATATATCGTTTTATTACAAACCGCCGCCTTCTCAAAGGTTAACAATCTCTCCTCTTTAGCATTGTTTTCTTATCTTCTTCTTCATCACAATTTTTCTACGGTCAGAGATTCAAAGAGTTTCTCTATCTTCTTCTTATTCTCCGATCATCATGATGCAGCAGCCACCACCCGGAGGTATCCTTCCACATCACGCTCCTCCTCCTTCTGCGCAACAACAGTACGGTTACCAACAACCTTCTCCTTACGGGATTGCTGGTGCTGCTCCACCACCACCACAGATGTGGAATCCTCAAGCGGCGGCGCCGCCATCAGCTCAGCCTATGACTGTCGACGAGATCCGGACTCTTTGGATCGGGGATTTACAGTATTGGATGGATGAGAATTTCCTCTACGGTTGTTTTGCTCATACCGGAGAAGTAATATTCTCAGATCTCTCTGTTTTGACCTTTTGATTATTATTTCCTTTACGTTGTTGATTACTCTTATTATTCTGTTTTAGTTTTATGGTTAATTTGCTAAGTTGTTACTGTTAATTATTTCCTCGTTTCTTCGTTTTATGATTGAAAGATTTGATTTTGAACAAACTTTATGTGTAATCTCTTTCCGACAATGAGTTAATGAGTGTTCTGTCTTTTTATATAATAGTAAGTAGTTAGTTTAACACTCTATGAGTATTTATTTCGCAGATGGTTTCTGCTAAAGTCATTCGTAACAAGCAAACCGGTCAAGTTGAAGGATACGGTTTCATTGAGTTCGCATCTCATGCTGCTGCTGAAAGAGTTCTACAAACATTCAACAACGCTCCTATCCCGAGCTTTCCTGATCAGCTCTTTAGATTGAACTGGGCATCATTGAGTTCAGGAGATAAACGGGACGATTCACCGGACTACACGATATTTGTCGGTGATCTGGCTGCTGATGTTACGGATTATATATTACTTGAGACGTTCAGAGCCTCTTATCCTTCTGTTAAGGGTGCAAAGGTTGTTATTGACAGAGCCACTGGGCGTACAAAGGGATATGGTTTTGTTAGGTTTTCGGATGAGAGTGAACAGATACGCGCTATGACGGAAATGAATGGTGTTCCTTGTTCTACTAGACCTATGAGAATTGGTCCAGCTGCTAGCAAAAAAGGTGTTACTGGTCAAAGAGGTATGCGTAAGATCGGAAGTTTATGTTACATTTAGAACTGCTTTGATCTTGCATTCACATGATTTGTTTTGATTTGTGTGTTGTAGTATCTATGTGACTAGGTTTCCTTATGTAAGAACTAGTATGACTCCATTATTTTGATTTTTTTTTTTTCTAAAGCCGCATCCTACATTTTTACCGCTGAGGCCGCAGTAAATTCTGTTAAAAAACTTAAAAGATAGAAATCTTATAGCGCACTTGTTGTATCCTGTTTGTTTCAAAGCAGGGGAGTCAAGAGGCTCTCTATCATCTTGAGGCCTGGAACTGATATTCAGCTGAAATGGTTATCTCCTTATTGAGTGCCCATGCTTAGGTCAGTTTTAAAGTTCATGTGTTGTCCTTTATTAGCCCTTTCCTTTGTTTCAGCCCTACTTTCGTTTCCATCTATCTTTTCTATACAACCTTTATTCCAGTTCTTGGTCTGTTACTTTTACAAGTCGATTCTTAGTAATTACTTTTCTATTTCTTATCTTTCACTTTATTTACTTATATCTTCAGTACATCAAGCTCCTTTTTACTGTTTTTGTGAGTCTACATTGTTTTTAATTTTTTCAATAGTGATTACTTTGTTTTTAATTTTTTTGTAAGCTACATTTTTTTTCAATAGTCGATTCTTAGTAATTACTTTTCTATTTCATTCCTCTATACTTTGTCTATATAGGCATTTCAATTATTTCTTCCACTACCGTGTTAGTTTTTACCCACCTTGATCTACCCTCCTTGAGTAGCCGAAAACCTTGGGTGAAATGTGATGCAAATGTCATTGTCGCTGTCTACTTGCTCTTTTTTTTTTGTTGCAGCTCCTCATATCCTTTTTCTCAATGCCCTCTAATGGAATGCTGATAATTTATGATTGATGTTAATATCATTGATAGACTTTGATTTCCTATATAATTTTTTTAATTTCATTGTCTGAGAATACTATTTCTCCTTTTGGAGTCTGGGCGGTGTGTTGTATATGTGTTCACTGTTCATACCTTACTTTGCATTTACTTTCATTTTGTTGGGAATGTCTAGATGAGGCTGCAAAAGGCTCCCTCATAGTTTTGCAGTTACTTTGTTGCATGTGTAACTTACAGTTACTTACTCCTTCCATTATACCCGTGTTTATTCGTGTAAATGCAGATTCATACCAGAGCGCTGCTGGAGGGGTACCAACTGATAATGATCCAAATAACACAACTGTGGGTTTTATACTCCTATTATATGTGTCCCGCTCGGCTATCTTCCAAAGGGATCATTACTGACGCATTTTAAGTTATGTACAGGTTTTTGTTGGTGGATTAGATCAATCTGTCACGGATGATCATCTGAAGAATGTCTTTGGCCAATATGGTGAGATTGTGCATGTGAAAATACCCGCCGGAAAGCGCTGTGGATTCGTTCAATTTTCTGAGAAGTAAGTCCACTGCTACTACTGGAAACTATGTCCATAATTTGACCCTATAATAGTCTTTGGAATATCAATCTAACAGCTCGTTTAATCATGTGTTTTGTGACCAACCCTCGCTTTTCAGAAGCTGTGCAGAGGAAGCTCTTAGAATGCTGAATGGAGTGCAATTGGGCGGAACAACCGTCAGGCTCTCATGGGGCCGAAGTCCTTCGAACAAACAGGTAATTGATAACCTTTGCATTTACATTAGATGATAGAAAGAAACTGCTCACAGTGTACGCCTTTTGTCTAAGAACTATCGCAGCTTCTGTCACAGTGTATCGCCTTTTGTTCTATGAACTATGTAGTCCAGGCTATAGTGTTAGATGATAGCAGAATCACTTAAATAGTTGAGTCCAAATAGTTTTATATAATTTGAAATGCTTTTTTATATTGGTTTCCAGTCAGCGGATCCTAGCCAGTTTTATTACGGCGGGTATGGACAAGGACAGGAGCAGTATGGTTACACGATGCCACAAGACCCTAATGCATATTACGGAGACTACTCTGGTGGAGGAGGATACAGTGGTGGTTACCAGCAGACACCACAAGCAGGACAGCAACCACCACAACAGCCACCACAGCAGCAACAAGTCGGGTTTAGCTACTAACTCCGAGAGTATTTCTTGGGTTAATGTCACTCAGTTTCTTGTTTGCGTACTTTGTTATGGACTTGTTTCTGCGTGCTTTGATATTTGTCTTTGTTTTCTCTAGGTGTGTTGAATTTTTCACTCTTAATAATGTTTCTGCGATGCTTCTGTTTTAAATGTTTTCATCACCTTTTGAAAGAACGTAAGCGTTGATTATTTTAGGGTAATGTGTTTATTTTTGAGTGTTGTGGTCGATGAATGATATCACCAGAGATCTTGAGCATAACTAAGCTTCAGCATTTGAATAGTCGGAGAGTCTTTAGAGGTCTATGTAGAGGCAGTGTGGTATGTGTCTCTCAAGTCTCAAGTTACTTAACAAAGTATGAATCTTGGAGTCATATATGGATGGACTCATATAAACAGCTCCAAGCTATGTAGATTATATTTAAAAACAAAAATTGCCTTGACCCGTTGTCCTAACCAAAGGACACATAAAAAGAAGGGTTTAGGGATCTGATTAATTTAGTAGATCTTGCAAATTGTTGTCTTATATCTGAGACCAAAAAATGTTGGCTCCAAAACAAAATTATATTTTCTTAGTTTCATAACGTTATAGCTATTTGCCTATTTCATAACCGAGTTACAATATATAACTTTCATATATGTTTTTTTCGGCTGCAAACTCGTAAATTAAAATGCTTAAGTTTGAAATGTATCTTATACATGTAAGTATGTACTATATGATCTCATTTTGCAAACAAATAAACTAAAATATTTGGACGGCAAGCTTGTAAATTTAAATGTTTAGAGTCTAAGATGTTATCTTACAAATATATATACTATATGACCTCATTTTGCATAATTAAATAAGAACAAAGATTTTTATATACAGGCATTAACTATAAGATTGTTAGCTGGAAAAATCATACTATCTTATATATTAACTTAATGATTTGACTTATAATTAAGTTTAGTTGTCTTATTATTTCTTTCTAATAAGAAATTATATAACGAGAGAAAAAGAAAATACGAAACACGTATACAAGTTACAAGTTAGTGCACCAGCACTGCTCAATGCAATGACTACAAATACTTGGTCATTTCAACTCCTCTCCTCGTCTCTCTCTGATCACACTACCTTCTCTTCCAAAAGTCGTCGTCGGGAAAACACAAAAGGACGAAAATGACCCTCTTCAAGAGGCCATGTCCTTACTCAAAGATGGACAAGGAAGATCCAGAAGAGGTACATCGTCAAAGAGCCAAGTTCTTGATTTACAAAACACTTCAAGAAGCCGATTTGGTTTCGCGGCGTGATCCTCATTCGTCGTTTCTACGGCTGAAGCTTTATCTGTTGAAGGTCAAGATCGGAAAGAGGTTGACTAATCTACGCCGAACCGTAGTATCCGCCGTTAGATTTGGCGGAATTCGAAAACATTCTCATAACGGCGTAAGAGCGTTGAAGAAGCTGTTCCACGGTGGTGCAACAACTGGACTACCTAGGCCTATTTTCACTCTTGAAGTTTGATTTTAATTTATATTATTTCTTGTTTTGTGTAATTTTTTTTCTTTTGTTTCTGGAGTTTCTTTTTATCTCTTTTACAAAAGTTTATCAAGAAATGTATTATGAAGAGATCATGAGTTTTGTTTCTTTCAAAAAGGTAAAAAAAAATCTTGAAATTTTATAAATCATTTAATTATATGATGGTGCAAAAGGATTTAGAAGACACATTTAAATTTGGATTATGGAACTTGTAATCGACGTATTTTAGACAGTAGAAACGACGCATTTTCAGAGAAAAATGATATGGATTGCACTGAAATATAGATACAATTATGTTTACGTAATTTTTGTACCTAAACTTATAATTCAAACTCTCATCGGATGAAGATCAAATTTAAGGTCGGATATTTTGGATATTTTCATAAAGCATGCGTTTGGATAGCTTTTAGTAATTTCAAATTTCTAATTACCTAAACCTTGCTAACTGCAGTTAAGGTAAAAATATGTTGGTGAGTTTGTTGGAAAATATTAAAATGTCATATATAAGTGATTAGTACCATACATATATGGATACAAATCAAGTCATTTCATGTTAGAATTAAGTAAGATAGAACCAATATAAAAAGGAATCATCCAAACAAACCAGTTTATTGGGTTTAATTAAGCATCTAAACTTATTCATGATTCATTATACAATCCTTTTTAACATTTGTAAACTATAAACAACTTTTCAATTGTTCTAGTTTGGACTCTATTATACAAACGGTTTTTGTTTTTGTTTTTGTTTTTATGTTTGGTTTAGTTTGCAGTTATAAATACTAAAATAGTAAAGTTTGCCCCCAAAAAAAACTAAAATAGTAATAAATATTAAATCATTGTGAATCTTTATGCTTGTGACATACAATCTATGAAGATTTAGTTTTGTCATATATCTATACAGAACATTTATTTTTCTAAGATTTATTTTTTGTCAACATCTTTGTAGAACTTAAAACTTAGATATAAAAAAAATTAATTAATCCGATCCCACTCAATTGAACCATGTGGGGAAATTCGTGCGATATCGTGAGATTCTAACACGCACGACGAAAATATAACTTTAAAATCTTGGGTTAGGTGGTGAACAAATAAATATCTTCGGGTTATAATATCAATTAAAAGGAATAAAGAAGGACTTAAATGCAAATAAAAGTTTCCCTTGTCTCTTTAATTTTTCTATTTTTCTAGCCCCTTCCTCAATTTTTCTTCTCTCATCTTCTTCGTTCCTCGCTCGAGAAGTCATCGGAGGTCCTTGGAAGTTTCTGATCATCGTATAGTCTTCTTCTTCCTTTTTTTCTTATTATCGTTCGATTTGATTGACGACCTATAATTTCATAATGCGTATATAGCTAAGATCTCTTCTCGTTGATTTGCTTAGAACAATAGAGAAGAAATTTCTGATTCCGTTTAGTATCAGCGATTCTTGTGAAGTTGATGATTATCAAATTTGTTGAATGTTTTCGTTGTTTCTCAGATTGTTTCGGGTTATGTTCTTTCTTTTTATGGATACATTTATTGAAATCTATGGTGCATTGTTCCGATTTCATATCAATTCTATAGATTCTCTTTAAGTGTTTGAGATTGGTTGATTTAATTGTGGTTTTGGTTTCCTTTATGCAGAAAGAAGGAGTTTGATAAGCAGGAAGCTCATGGAATAGAGATTCTATTTCGATTTTTTTCTTCTCTGTGTCTGAGAATTGGAATTGATCTTTTGAGTTAGAAGGGAATTTTGAGATTTGTTAAAATGAGTGTGGTGGGATTTGATGTTGGGAATGAGAACTGTGTTATCGCAGTTGCAAAGCAACGGGGGATTGATGTTTTGTTGAACGATGAATCTAATCGAGAAAATCCTGCTATGGTTTCCTTTGGTGAGAAGCAGAGATTCATGGGTGCTGCTGCTGCTGCATCTGCTACTATGCATCCCAAATCAACTATTTCGCAGTTAAAGAGATTGATCGGTAGAAAATTTAGGGAACCTGATGTTCAGAATGATCTGAGGTTGTTCCCTTTCGAAACTTCTGAAGACTCTGATGGTGGAATTCAAATCCAGCTTCGGTACATGGGTGAGATTCAGAGTTTCAGTCCGGTGCAGATATTAGGCATGTTGCTTTCACATTTGAAGCAGATTGCAGAGAAGAGTCTCAAAACGCCTGTTTCAGACTGTGTCATTGGGATTCCGTCCTACTTTACTAACTCACAAAGACTTGCCTATTTGGATGCTGCTGCCATTGCTGGCCTGAGGCCATTGAGATTGATGCATGATTCTACTGCCACTGCACTTGGATATGGTATATACAAGACAGACTTGGCAGCTAACTCGAGCCCTACTTACATTGTGTTTATCGATATCGGTCACTGCGATACACAAGTGTGTGTGGCATCGTTTGAGTCTGGAAGCATGAGAGTCCGTTCTCATGCTTTTGATAGAAACTTGGGTGGGAGAGATTTTGATGAGGTTCTCTTCAACCACTTTGCCGTTGAATTTAAGGAGAAATACAACATAGATGTATATACAAATACCAAGGCGTGTGTTAGGTTAAGGGCATCATGTGAGAAACTTAAAAAGGTCTTGAGTGCAAATGCTGAGGCACAGCTGAATATAGAATGTCTGATGGAGGAGAAGGACGTGAAGAGCTTCATCAAGAGAGAAGAGTTTGAGAAGTTGTCAGCAGGCTTGTTGGAGAGATTAATTGTACCGTGTCAAAAGGCTTTGGCTGACTCTGGTCTAAGTTTGGATCATATCCACTCTGTGGAGCTAGTTGGTTCAGGGTCCCGCATTCCAGCTATATCTAAGATGCTAAGCTCATTGTTTAAGAGGGAGCTAGGCAGGACTGTGAATGCAAGTGAGTGCGTAGCTCGAGGATGTGCGCTTCAATGTGCAATGCTCAGTCCAGTTTTTCGAGTTAGAGATTATGAGGTACGCTCTTCTCTATATGTGAAAATATTCACTCTTAATTCCGTTTCTTTTTGAGTATCGTGTGTATTAAATACATGATGGCGTTTATGCCTTCACGAATTTATTTTCTATAAATGGCAGATGTTTTTATCTTGTTTATGCTTCCCCTATTTTCAGGTTCAAGATTCTTTCCCTTTCGCAATCGGCTTTTCATCTGACAAAGGTCCCATAAACACACCATCGAATGAATTGCTATTTCCGAAAGGCCAGATCTTCCCAAGTGTAAAGGTTCTTACTCTACATAGGGAAAACACTTTCCATTTGGAAGCCTTTTATGCAAACCATAATGAACTATCACCAGATTTACCAACTCAGATAAGCAGTTTTATGGTATGATATCTTTCAGGCTTCCCTTATTCATATATATACTCAGTCTTTAGATTTCTGATTTCACATTGGATGGTTATGCCACTATTGGGCACTGCATATTTTATGGAAAGTTAATTTTGCTGTGTAATGTTTTGTTAGATTGGGCCTTTTCATATATCGCACGGAGAAGCAGCACGTGTCAAAGTAAGAGTTCAGCTAAATCTCCACGGGATTGTCACGATTGATTCAGCTACGGTGAGTACAATCTCATCAGTCTTTCTTTAGATATGATTTCCTTTGTGTGTCTACCTAGGTTGAGTCTAAACTTTCCCTTTCTGAACAGCTAATAGAATATCACAAGGAGAATATAACTTCCGAAGAGATGATATCCGAAGAAAATCATCAATCTTCTGCTATGAAAGATGGCACTTTGGACCCTTCGTCAGGTTCTACTGTAAGTATAGTTTTAGCAACGTGTAAAGAAATATAGTTGCATAACAAGAAGGCTGCAAGGCCGAGATATAAAAAGCTGATGTTGAAGCATTGGCATATCGATTAAATTTTGAAACAATGAAATGGTTGATCTGGGGATTCTCCAAAGAAATGCTAATCTGTAGAAGTCCTGACAATAGTTTCTCTTGTGTAGGGTAATGAGCCCAAGGCTATCAAAAGAATGGAAATTCCAGTTGTTGCGAACGTGTCTGGTGCATTGACAAAGGATGAGTTATCTGAGGCCAAACAGAGAGAGAAGTCTTTAGTGGAGCAAGATCTGAAGATGGAATCGACAAAGGATAAGAAAAATGCTCTCGAATCCTTTGTTTATGAGATGCGTGATAAGGTACTCAGCTGGGTTTAGTAGACTCAAAGCTTTCCCTTTAGATTTCAGTAAAAACTGTTTGTGTATATAATTTATCACTTCCAAGAATTAACATTGTGTATACGGGCAGATGTTAAATACATATCGGAACACTGCAACCGAGTCAGAACGGGAATGCATAGCTAGAAATCTTCAGGAAACAGAGGATTGGCTATATGAAGATGGTGATGATGAATCTGAAAATGCGTACATCGAGAAGTTGAACGATATCAAAAAGGTAACTCTCTCAAAGTTTGGTATGTAAAGGTTGTCTCTGCAGATGACATTGTCCTAATTGATGGCTTATATATCTGAGCAGCTCATCGATCCTATTGAAAATCGGTTCAAGGATGGAGAAGAGCGACTTCAAGCATCAAAGGATCTTCTGAAAACTATTGCAGATAACCGAATGGCTGCAGAGTCTCTTCCTCCTCCAAGAAAGAACGCGGTTTGGTTCTAAACTATTAACATAAGTCTCACTCTACTAGCAATAATATGTCTTATAAGATGGATAAAGTTTGTATAGTTGGCTAGATGGTTGAGATTATATCACCATAATGTTTTTTACGTTTTCAGGTTCTCGATGAATGTCATAAAGCTGAGAGGTGGCTCCACGAGAAAACCACAAAACAGGATTCTTTACCCAAAGACGCTAATCCAGAGCTGCAATCTGCTGAAATCAAGAGAAAAGCCGATGCTCTTAACGCGTAAATCTAATATTTCCCTCTCCTTACTACTCTTCAAGCTAATCTTCATTCTTCACATTTCTACCGCAAAAACTTTGGTCATAATTGATGAGACCGAATCGGATATAAACTGATGACAGGATTGTGAATGTGTTTCAGGACATGCAAGTACATTGGGAAATCAAACTCTCCTCCCGCGAAACCGGAACATAATGGATCACATGGAAGTAGAAAATCAGATGATATGGAGCTTGATTGATTGTTCTTTCTCTTATAATAGTCTAAAATTTTGAGTCTTTATTCTACATGGGGCAAAATAACAATAAGGCGAAACGATCTCACTGTGTATCTCTCTCATGATCCATGATTTGAAACGATTATTCTCGAGGTTGATTTTTCAGATTTTGTTGTTTTTTTTCCTTATGGTGAATCTCTTTTTTCTTTAACCATTTTTATATTTGTAGTAGTTGGCTAGATTGTGACATGTGCCAACCAATTTAGACCAATCGTACACAAAACAAGTGGAATGAGTGAGAACACCGTATCAATTACGTATGATGGTGAGTGGATCCGTATACCCAAATTGAGATGATTCCCAGTTTCTGTCATCTGTTCAATTTCTCAGATTGTACGAGCTCGAATCTCAGACGTATCCAACCATAAACATTTAAAATTGCCGTACAAATTTGAAATCTCTTATTTATCTTTTTCGTCAAAGTATGTCATTCAGTCACGAGACAAAATTAGCCGATCTAGTGGAAGATAGACCAGACTTTTAGTCAGTAATATATAACTCATGTCATGTAAGAACAAAACTATACTATACAATAATAGCGAAACCATATAATTTGGTCCTTAAATCTATAGTATGTGTATAGCATGCGAATTATAATCTTATATAGTATGGGTTCTTTTTAAGGAATTACTATATGAAATCAAAAATAAAATAATAAATGAGGTGACTAATTTCCAACCGCAATATTTAATAACTTTCAACAACAACATGGACTTATGTCAGAATAAACATTTAACTGAATCTTGACAATGACCATTGATGAAAACTATAGTACTAGGGCCTGGGGAAGCTCAAAACTCTAAAACTATATCACATCGCAATCTTCACGATATAAGATTTATTTTATTTTATTTTTGTTAGAATTTTGTGTTTATATTTAACTAGAAGAACACATATTCGTCTAAGTTATTTACCAACTGTAAACTTACACCTCAAATAATAAAAAATAACATTGCTTTCTTTTTTTTGGTTAATTGTGAGCATAACATTTTAGCATTATATGTAAATGCGTAAGCAATTTTTAAAAAAAAAACAATGGAAGTCGTATATATATATAGAGATGTATTCTGTGTTCATGTACAATCACATATTTGTTAGGTCTAGGTTCAAGTATTTTGGTATATGAGAAAGATCCATTAACCGAATTATAACTATCTCTAGTTTTGGTTGGTTTGTCATAGTTTTAGGTTTCATTCTTTTTTTTCAATTTTGTAGTTGGGTGCACCATGCATGGTGATGGTTTCCCACTTTATTTGGATGCTAACTACGATATATATATTGACTTTACTAAATTATTAGAGAAAAAAAAAAAAGAAGAGCAAATCAAGTCAAATCAAATCCAAATACTTAACTATAAACTTAATTTTGTCGACAAAAAAAGGATTATAAACTTAATTAACTAACTCTATTCAATGAAAAATGAACCAAATCTTTTTAGTATCTTTCAAACCAGATTTTGACCATTTCAACAATAAAGTTCGCTTTCAACATTCGTGTGAAGGCTCATACTAGTCTTAGTTATGGAACCCTTTTTATGTTATGTCAATGTAACGTATTTTAGTACTAAAGTGCTATTAGAAAAGAAACAAAATAACTAGTAAGATTAAACAAATCATCTTTACTTTTGTATAAGAGATTTTTGTTTTCCCATTACTGATATATTATATGAATGTATATAGAAAACTTCTGACAAATAAAAGATTCATGTTTCCGACTCTTAACACCACATAACGACAGTATCGCTGAAAATAAAAAAAATATGCGAAATAAAATCATATACTAAGAAACTGACAAAAAAAAATTTAAAACCTTACAAAGTTCCTACAGGGTTACGAGTTACGAGTTACGACTTACGAAGAAAAAACTTTTGTGGACCATAACACCCATTTTTCATTATCTGATTACTTCATATACAAAGAAACGATTACAACAATTCATTCTTCCACACAATACATCATTTTTTCAATATATCATTCTCACTTCTCAATACTACTTCCTCTTACGAAAAAAAAATTTACATCAATTTCCTTCTCTTCAATCTAACCCCCTCAGAAAACTATCGATTTTCCAATTATTCATTAATCAAGAGATTCGCATATCTCTTGATTAACTAACTAACTAGGGTTTAGTCCTTTTTTAAAAATCATTTTGGGGAAAACCAAAACATATACATAGTTGACCTCCGAATCTCCCCAAGATAAATTTCTTTTTATAAAATCAAAATTTTATTTTATTGCTTAAGAAGCGGAGATGTGTCTTCCCACTGGTCCAATCGTCTCGAAGCCTTCTCCACCTGAATTTTAAAACCCAAAAAAAAACTATCAAAAATTCAAAACTAACCCTTAATTATAATTTTCGTGAAAAGTATAAATGATAATTAGTAATATACCTCTTTATCCCAATCAGTTCGGAAAGTGACAAAAACTAAGATAATAGTCTGCATGAGTGTACCACCAATCATCCCTGTCCATATTCCCTGCACCAAATCATTAACAATATAATTTAAATCTCACATTTACACCAACTAATCATTAATCGTTGATTAGAATATAAATCATGTAAAATGAAATTTACCCTAGCTCTCATATCATAGGTGAAACCAAGAACATAACCAATCGGAATCCCCACAATGTAATAACATCCAATGTTAACGTACGCTACATATGCTTGCCATCCACATCCAACGGCCACACCTGTAATAAATAAATTTTGTCATTAATCATTTATTCACAACTAATTAATCAATTTTTATTTATTTATTGAATTAGTTTTTGTTTTATTTTTACCAGATAAAACAGGTTGAACTCCATTGAGAACTATGGTAATGGCTAAGAAAGGAGAGAGCTCGGCGACGGCTTCCGCAACCGCTGGACTGTCCGTAAAAATGTAACTGATGACGTGACGCCACGAAAGGATCACGATGGCTTCAAACAATGACAGTAAAAATGACACTCCTGTAGTTACCGCGGTTGAAAATGCTGCTGATCGTGGATTTCCAGCGCCTAATTCGTTACTAACTCTCACACTGTAGTAAAAATAAAACTAATGTTTAGCTTATGTTATTAATTTATTACCTCTAGCATTAAAAAAAATTGCCTAAATTAAATAATTGAAAATGTTTTACAAACGTTTTTCTTTTACCAACCTGGCAGCTGCGTTGAATCCAACTGACACCATGAACGACATTGCAGATATTGACATGCTGCAAAGAAAAACAAATTAAGTAATGAATTATATATTTGGCCAAGTCGTAAGACCTAGTCAGTAATAAACTTTTTGTTTCTTGTGAACGAGTCAATAATACACACTTTAATAATCATGTTTGTAAAACAAGTCGCTTAAATAAATTAATAACTTGGGTCTAGGAGTAATCAATACTTTATGAGTTTTCCAAGATACAGAAGTGCATGCCGTTGTTTATCAAGGAAACGACACGCAGTTTGCGCTCACAAGAAACGGTCAAAGAAACACTGAAATTTGGCTTTAACGGAAAGGTTAAAGAAGAACGTGGGACTTATAATACTGCTTACTAGTCATAGTACGGCGACAAATAGTTGCAGCTTTTAGTAACGTGACTTTCGTTTATCAAAAAGGAGATTCCCGAAAACTAGCCAAAAGTTGAAAAGTTTTGATCGGACAAATGATAAACAGTAGTAGTACAAAACCATGCATTATTAACCTTATTATACTATTAAAAATAAACAAACCGTCCAATTTTTTTGCTTTTTTAATTTCACAATTAAAGCTACATTTTATGGAAGAAACTAAAGTTTTGGAAGTATTCTAAGATTTTAATATTACTACAAAAAAAAGGTTATATGTTTTCGGCTGTTAGTGTTTTAATGTGTAATATATTTTTTTTTGGGCACATGATGGGTAGTAGTACTTCATAAGGTAAAATATTGAAAAAGTAAAATGTAAAAAAAAAAAAAATACCAGATTGCTAGAGAATCCAAAGCAAGTTCAGGGTCTTTAAGAAGTCCGGCGAGGAGAACAAGAATCTGAGAATACCAAGATTCAAGACAGAGCATGACGGCGGAAGCTGCCGATAACTGGAAAAAGTCCCAAAGACCATCAAAAGCTTTCCAGCTAAAACCATCCCAAGTCCGGCGACATCTTGGACTTATCTTAATGTAAATAATCTGAGCGAGGACAATGATCCACCACGAGAGACTATGAACAACGGAGAGACCAAGTAAGCCCCAACCAAACTTGAAGACAGAGAGCCAAGAGAGGATTAAATGGAGGACTAGTGTTGCGGCTGAGATATAAGCGCTTGGCGTGACGATGCTTTGCGACTGGAGGAACTTTTGGATCGGGAAATTGACGGCGTAAGCGAAGATCATTGGGATCATTCCGTAGACAAAGACGGAGGCCACTGATGCTACGTCAGCTGGCTCGCCCAAGGAAATGAGGAGAGGTTTTGAGAAGATGAAGAGTAAAGTCATTGGAAGTCCGGTGATGACAAGAACAATCGTGGATCTTTGTAAGTAGACTCCAAGCATGTCGTATCTGTGAGCTCCATGCGCTTGCCCACATAATGTCTCCACTGCACTTCCCATTCCAAGCTATGTCACCGGCAAAAAAAAAATATTAGAATCTGAAGACCAAAGAAGACTTTATTCATTTTAAAGTTTGACCAAAGAAGACTTTATTCATTTTAGAGATTAGATTAGATTCTGAGGAACGTAAACATCGACTTGTAGTTGGTAATTTCATCAGATCCGTTTAGTAGTATTTGTGTTTATGGATATTTTTGATATGATTTAAAGTTTTGTATAAATGAAGTTATTTTTTTAAGAGAAATGAAAATTTAAGTAAGTATAGTACCATGAGACCGAGAGTGAACATATTGAAACCGCTGTTTCCTAGAGAAGCGGCAGCGAGTTGCATACTTCCCAAACGACCGGCGAAGATACGTGTGAGCATAGACATGCCGTTGTTGATGACGTAGACAAAGATCGCCGGAGCTGCCAAGTGGAAAAGGTACTTCATCTCGATCAACGACGCAAGGTAGATCCGCCGGAAATATGACAAGTGTGTGTCCGTTAATACACTCTCCATCCTGAAGTCAGCTTCCGATTTCGATGACTCCAGTAACGGTTGCTGAAGGTTGTCCACGGCGGTGGTGGCTTCCGAACCCATTTTTTTAATATAGATTTAAAGAAAAAAATATTATGAATCTACGAACTTCGTCGCTCTAGTTTTCTCTCTCTCTATCTTTATTTGGTCTGTATCTTTCTGCGACTTTGCTCAGAGAGTAGCTGTAATATAAAGGCGATTTTGCCGTGTCTGCTATTTTTTATAATTATTGAAGAAAAAAGAAAGCTGAAAAGAGGAAAATAAGCCTTGTTTCTTTATTTAATCATAACATCCGTTTCGTGAAAATTATATTAAATGTTTACAGAACATAAGCTTTTGCATTTTTGGCATTGTGTGAACCGACCCTAATCGTATCTTACTCTTTAGGTTAAAATGTAACTAAAATTGAATAGTTGGATCAATATAGTCATATGACTACATGAGTCTGACCGATATGACTAGTACATGAAAACAAGTTAGTCCAGATAAGCCTGATTAATTTGATGGGATATGCCGGATTGACTCATTTAGCAAATTGACTATATTTAGTTTTGCATATTGCAATCCTAAACTTATTTGTCAGAGACCACCAGCTTGATATCCAAGAACTTCAACAAATAAATAAATAAAGTTGAAAAGAACTAATCCTATAAACAAAAATCACATTTGTGTGGGAAGTCAAAATTAACGATAACGATAATGATAATTGAAATAAACAAATAAATTAACGTAACAGTGTCAAAATTAGAAATACTAGTACTAATAAATATTAACGATAACGATAATGATAATTGAAATTTACTTCTCGTTTTTTTTTTTTTTTTTTTACGACACCTGTGGAATGAAACGCCGGTTTGCCGAAAAAAAAAAAATGGAATGAAACGCCGAACGCAGGAATCAAAGCTGAACACGTGACTTTAACGCACTTCCTCCCGCAAATAAAGTCCAGACACACTACTACTACACAATCAATAGAGCGATTAAAAGTGAGCTTTTCGAACCCAAATATAAAAAGTAACCTTTCCAATTTTGACACTGTTACGTTTAATATTTTTCAGTTGCGTCAAGTATCTTCTGCGACTGTGTGGGTAAAAGCTCTTATTTTTGGTCATATTATAATTATGTATTCTTAAAGCAACTCTAATTATTATGTCTTTTAGATATATTTTATTATAACATCCCCGATTCTGTAAATCTTAACAAGAATCTATCACAATACTACTTTCAAATCAAAATTTCTTACGAGTTTCACTTTGTAGATAAAGCCATAAAGGGAAGGGGTAACCAACCAAAAAAAAAAAAAAAATTGGTATCTTCATCTTTTTCCTAAAGTTTATTTATAACTTTGAACATAATTTAAATTACGATACAACCCTTTTTTTTGTTAAAGAAATTACGATACAAAACTCACAGATCAACTAAGAGCATCTCCAATGGTGAGAGTCCTCCATGGGCTCTCACCAATTGTTTAAACATATTTTTTTTGAAATTTTTAGATGAGAACTTGTGTTTTTCTTTTTTAAATTTTCTTAGTCCAATGGTAGTTTCTCTAGTGTGTTCTTTTTTTGAAAATATTTTGATTTTGATGTAATTTGATGTTTGGTTTTGATGTAATTTGATGAATTAGGAAAAAATAATTGGAGTCATTGGTGTTTGGTGTAATTGGTGTTTCAATAGTTTATAATCACATCAAAAACTTGTCAACTGCAAATGAAAGATTCATGATCTACACATATTTTGATTTGAGTGTCTTGTCTCCTACTTAGCCTATACAAGATAGATCTACAAGAAATGTTGTGTTTTGATATAACAATAACAAGAAGAAGTGTTGTATATATAGAGAAAAGGAGGGTGTACAATCATTCAAAAATATGCAGACTGCAAATCATTCACCCTCTTCACGTTTTGGAGAATCTCAGGTCCACCCTATGTGTTTTTCTCTGTTTATTGGTCCTCAAACTCATCCCAAGCATCATTACACATGAAAACTGCAAATCACAACCAGTTTGTCTCTTTTTTCCTATTCTCTGCATCGTACATGCTCTGAAGAGGACACTGACTCCTCCACATTATCAAAATTCAAAACTGCAAATCACAACCAACAAAAATTTGAGCTTAATGATTCTTAGTTCTAATGATATAACTTAATAAATCCTACGTGTATTGCATCATATGGTGCAAACTCTTGCCAACCTTTTTTTCATCTACCAAAAGATGAAAACGAGTAAAAGATATGATTTTGCTAGGCAAGGAACTCACAAGAGAAAGCGAGTACTCACAAGGAGAGAGATCCCTTCTTAAGTAAGGAAGCAGCAACACTCTTTTCGATTTTCGATATGATCCACACCAACAATGCATCCCTCAGCTCCAACCATCAAAGCAAAACAGCCACTCAAGTACCCGGTTCCTACAAACACAAGCTGATTGTTATCCCGAGTTCCCACTTCAATCATGCCAAATAACAAACACAAGCTAACATATTAAAAATCGTCTATGAGCACAAAATCAGTTACACAACACAGAGAAACACCAAATAACCCATTTTAGAACAAGTTTCTACCTTATGTGTTGAGAATAAACTGAAGCAGAGATTCCTGGCGAGAGAGAACATAAATCCATGTGGAAGAAGAGAGCACCGGAGAAGCAAGAGAGATTGAGATTCAGAAACTATGAACCCTAAATCAAACATTCAACGACTCATCCACTTCAATCATACCAAATAACAAACACATAACGTCCAATGTATTTAGAAAACCACTTATCGATGCTTAGAACAAAAACCTTAAAACGAACATCAAATTCCCCAAATTAAATCATGATAAACTTCATAAAAGAAGTAGATTCTTACCAATTACGAGCTTCGTCATTGATTCTCTGATTTGATTCATCTTTCACCGGCGATCGTGACCACCGGCTCTGCAAATGACGAAATCGGCCCAACCACTGCTCGACCTTGATATCGACTGCTTCAATTGAACCTCAATCTTCGGAGCAAAATTCCGGCTCCGTCGCCGTCACCTTCGCCATCGTTTGATTTTGTTTCGCTAGAGAGAAAGAAAGAGAGAGCGTATCGAGAGAAAACGAAGGTTTTTTTCGACGCATTTTTTTTCTTTTCAGTTTTGTCAAATAAAACGCCCAATTAAAACGTGACACGTACACGTCTCTCATCTCATCTAAAGTTTCTCACAAGAGAGCACAAGAGAGACAGCTCTCTCCATTAAAATTGTTTCTGAATTATTTTTTTACAAATTTTCTGAGAGAAACCATTGAGAGAACCCAAAAATTGAACCATTGGAGATGCTCTAAACGAAAATGAAGATTTTGAAGATATGGTATTAAATTCGTGCAAATGCTTACAGTTAAGATACGTTGGAAAATAAGGCAGTTGCATCGTGGCAATAATGAAAAACAACGAGTCACTCGTCTACGATGATCACATGGCTATATTTAATATTTTGAAGAAAAGAATATACGTTCTCAACTAATTTTCTTACAGGATTAGCCGATTAGCTACAGAATGCATACGTACACCAAAATATCAAGCTTGTAATAAAAATAACAATAATAATTCCTGTTAATTTAAATTTGAAAAGGGTAAATAATTGATTTATAAATTACTATAATATAGAAAAATTGATTTTTTGAGACGTTGAACTCTTTATCGAATTATAAATTTTCCTTATGTAAAGGAACACGATTTTCAAAAATATAATTGAAGACCGAATATGGATGAGATCGAGAAAAAATATAGACTACCAATATTAGATTCGGGTCATTACAAAGATTAGTATGTGGATATGGTTTCCGCAGCACGTAACTTGCAATTTGTATCCCATATTTTATCCAACTAGATTTGAACCCACGGTACACCGCGGGGCTATAATTTTTTTTTAAAAAATCTAAATATAATTAGTTTTGTTTATTAATAGAGAGTATAATATAATATTTCGACCTATTTTATAAATGTATCATCCATATATCTATATTAATAGTTTTGAGTATATTAATTGTGTTTTAGGTTTAAATGGTATATCTATATATACACTTAAACGACATTTGGCTTTCTTCTTCTTCTTGCCTCAGTTTAGGAGAAAGATTTTTCTTGCGGTACACCGCGGAGCTATTATTTAAAAAAAATATTTTTCTTTCTTAAATTTCCAAATCTAGATTTTACACCGCGGGTCGATTTTTTTATAACTAAAAAATTATTTTGCAAAATTTTAAGTTGTATTTGTTTTGTTAATATTGTTTATTTTGTTTAGTGTTTCTGATTTTATAATTAAATTTTGATTTTTAATTCTAGGATTTCATCCATAGTATATTGTTTAATATTAATATTGATCTAAACCCGTTGCACCATATAACCCCGTCCCGTAAAATTAAACATCATTTGTTATTTTTTTTAATAATATTTTTATCCACTACGGGTCGCAGGTTCATGCGGATAAGCCCGTAGAGAGTTGCGGATTTGCGGGTCGACCCGCCAAAAGAGAAGCTATCTTTTGAAACCCTTTGTTTTGTTTAGAGGTTTTAAGAAAATATCCTAAAAAATAATTTTCATTATATGAAAAAAAAGAAGTAGAAGAAATTGTAGTATCAACATTCCCGATTTTTACACCACTCGTTACAATTAATTTTTTTTTTTGCAGATAAAAATCAGAAGTTAACTAAGTCGAGATTTTTAAAAAGATTGTGTAGAGATTTTTGGTAAATTGTTGAGAACATATTTGATTTCAAAATCTTTACTTAAATAGATAAGGAAAGATTTTGTAGAGACTTTTGCTAAATATATGAGAAATGAATTTCAATTAAAAATCTTTACTTAAATAAAACAAATCTAAATAATTAATGCTAATGGCATGTCATTGTAAATACATCTCAACTTCAGGATTTATTTGCTAATTGTGATCTAAAAATATATATATAGATATACATATCTAAAAAGAAATAACAACTCCAACTACAAGATCGGAACTGAAACATGCATGTCAAAAGAGGAAATTGACAACTCTTGGTATGTTGGATTTTACAAACGAATCAATAATGATGATGGGTATATGCTTATGCATTAAATCATAGTTTATTAATTATAAAAGATGATATAAATAATTTGCAGCATTATTTAACGTAGAGAAGAAGAAGAAAAAAGAAAAATCATGTTTAAAGAAGATGTGACGTACAAAAAGTGCCATGTTGGACATACCAAACTCGTGCTTTAAAATTCACAAAACAACTTTGATTGGCAGAAAAAAAAAAAAATAAAAAAATAAAAAAAAAAAAAAAAAAAAAAAAAAAAACTTTGATTGGCAGGTCAAACTACGTTGACCATTGAGTCGCAAACGCGGCAGTAAAATTACGTTGATTAGCATTTAAATCACAGCTAATCCACACGGATTCGTTGTGTAGGTCTGAATGTATGTTTTTATAATTTTGTTTAATAATAACATTAAATGTCATAGGTTTAGATATACAATTATTATGTGGAATATTTGACAAGTCATTTTCAGAATAAGAAATCGTCAAGGTATTTAAGAAATCAGAATAATCGCGGTAATTAGTTGACCAACGAATATGCAGTATAGACTAATAATACCTTCGTGTTATAAGTTTACTTCAAGTAATGTTGATTCTCTAAGAACTTTTACAAGTCATATTTAATAACTGCGTTTTTAAAAAGAATCCCTTATATATTTACGTATAGTTTAATCTTTTTATTCTTTAGTCATAATTAATTAAAGATTACAATTATTAAGTTTATTTGTGCACTTTGGATTACAGGTGCAAACACAATATACAAGCAGGTAGGTGTATAAACTGTGAATTATGAGTTTGTACCTGTTTTCTAGTTTTGAAGTCTTAATTAAGATATGATGTTTGTACCATGTATTGACGTAAGTGTGTAACCCCAAATCTTATACATGTTTTTTTTTTTTGTTTGTGTCAAAGATATATATTGAATGGACCAGTGTTATAGGCTCTTAATATGAACACAAATTCCCTCGGGCCATGGTTGTTGGGAAAATTATTAAATGAAAATGACATTGACATATTTGTGTGAGTGTGAGTAAGAGAGAAAGCGACGCAGACCGTAAAACATATATAATTGCTTATATTTTTGATCAGAAATTTTTATATACATAATTGCTTATATATATATATATATTACTGTACTATATATGTGTAATAATGACCATGGAATTGTTATGCTTGATTTTCAATATACAATCTTAAATTGGAGTGCTCATCATGACGCTTATCAGATTGTTAACATTTGTTTTGATCAAATGTGAAACCGCACTAAACTTGCCTCCATCGGAATAGAAATGTATTTTCCTAACGAGAAAAAATGGAAAAATCTGAAGTTGTCAGAGTCAATGGAGCCGTATTCTAGAGTTCAACAGTTCATAAACGATAAGTATTTAAGCAACTAAGAGCATGATTATTGGTAGTATCTTAGAAATAAATTTTAAAAATATTTAAGTAATATATTTGTAAAAGTGATAGGTAAAAGATAGTGTTTTTGGGTTAAGATTTTTGTGTGATTAATGGTAGGTTCTTAACATGTGGTTCTTACAAAAAAATAATATTATATAAAAATAAAATTTATAATTATAGAAAATTTAATAATTGTTGCAAATTAAAAAAATTAAAACATACATGAGATACAATTTATAACATAAATAACATAAAATACAAAAAAAAAATTCTTCTTTTGTTTGATTTTTAACCAATCATAATGTGACACCTTGCAACATCTTAAGTTAAGAAAAACATCTTAACTTAGATACAAATCTTAGCTTTAAGATGTTGGTTTGATTATTTTTAATCAACTTTAATTCTAAGATTTATCTAAGATACTCAACATTTCAACCAATATTCATGCTCTAAGCACGCAAACACTCCGGCCAAGTTTTAAGACAATTTAGCAAATAATTTTGTATGAGATATTTAAGTAAACAGTGTAATCGTAGACGTGGAAAAAGACTACAAGAAACTAGCTAGGCTAACCTCTTTTTACCAAGAAAAGTCTTTCGCTATGATTTAAACTACATTCCACGATTTTTTTTTATGATGAGTATAAATTTTTAAAAATTTCGACAAAAATAACCAAAACTGTGGTTTATGAAAAGACATTATCTTGATCATACTAGGGTGCCCAAAATGGGCCATCCAAACATTTAACTTCGGATATTATTTTATTCCAAATCTTGATAAGAGGATGTATTGGGTCTGACTGATACTCTTTCATAGAAGAAAAATAATTCTTCTGTGTTGTACTTAAATGTAACTAGTCAATGAAAAGCAGTTGATTTTGTTTTCTTCCCAATTTTTCAAAAAACAACGCGAAAAGGTAGAATTCATCCCACTTCAAATATATGAGAGAAAAAATTCTTGTGTTTTTTTTGCTTTTATTTTCTTCTCTTTTTTCTTTTATTTTTCATCTCATTTCTTCCACTTTTTACCAGTCACACCCATTATCTTTTACTACGCATTAAATAAATATCTCAACAAATTTTCGTAATTAAGAAGAGACAATGATCTTATGATTCAGATTTACTATCTTATAAATTGGTCCATAAGTTTTTCCCTTTTTTTTAATTTTTGAAGTCCATAAAATGTTTCTAATATATACATTTTAATTTTGAACCTTTGTTCCTACGACGGGAAGTTGTGAGAGCCACAAGAATGCATAAAATGGGGCATTCAGACATTTTAACTTCAAATATATTTTCTCCAAAATCTTGATAAAAAAACAAATTATTGTTTTCTTATAACGCATTAAACAAACATATCTACAATTCATCGAAATTAAGAAGGCTGGATTCTGGTGAACAGCATACACCTGATATTATAATGTACTATATAAGAAATATAGATTTTTCATAAAGGACAAACAAAGTTTCCTAAATTAATTTCAGCAACATGTGATAACCGTTCGAGCATGATACTACATAAACACATGTCTAAGTGGATGTGAACATATATTGTGTTATCATGTCAACGCGTCTGATGTATCAGCATAGAAGTTGAAATTCTTGCGGGAAATTAGGGTAAAACAATTCTACAATTCGAGAATCTCGTGGTAAATGATTGTAGACCACCTTACGCGTGATGTCTATATATAAGACTATAACTCGAGAATCTCGTGGGATAGTATTTTAGGTCTAGTTAGTTTGGTAAGAATCGGCTCAGTCAAAGTATAAATCCCTAAATCTAAAATCAAATATCAACATATAAAATTGATAGA